CCATGGATGGTCTGTACCCTAGGGTTCCCCCCAGCCGATCCGAACCTCTCTTCCACATGCGCTCTTTGCTACTATTATCCATGAGTTGTAGAGCTTGGGAATACCTGTTCATGGAGTACAGGAGAGTCTTAGTAAATGGTAATACAAAGAAATTATTGACAAGTTTCCAAAGCATGTGATATTTATTTCTATGTGTCAACTCAGTTGTTGTACAGCCAGTTGTAACACATAGTTAAAAATACCTTAGTTGAAATGTTTGAATTATTTAAAAGGAACTAGAAAGTATCCTGGATGGTACTGAATTACAAGCATTAAATGATGAAATAAATAAACAAAATAAAATAACTGAATTCATGTTATGACATCAGGTTCAGTACATTTAAAAAGAGAAGAGAAGGAGGGATTCAACTTCTCTTGGCCAGTGCTTTATTTATGCATTTATTTTTAATAGGGTATTATCATGGGGGAAAGTAAACAATGAAAATTGTGGAAATGTGAGTCTGAAAAGTTTTTTATCCTAGGAAAGAGAAGGCAAAGCTAGCTTCTGAATACCGCAAGTTATGTTAAAATTCCTAAGCTAAGCTTACTAAGCCTTTCTGCTTATTGAGAGCTCTGAGACTTTTAGTTCAGAGTTACTGCATCTGGAAAACATGAAGCAGAGTTTTTCCTGCTTTTTAAGTCAGGTAGCGGGAATGTGCCTGAAACGGAGCCTCTGCGAAAGGGACACTTTCCTGATGTTGGTTAATGAGGTGGCCTCTTGGCTCAATTTATTTGCTTTACCACAGACTTGCTGTAATACCTTGCACAAGATGCTCGTCTCTCTGCCTCAGCTGAACATTTTTATAATGAGAGCAATACTTCCCAACTCATTATCTCATAAAAACTGAGAGGCTGAACTAGTCGACGATGATTGACAATTCAGGTATTGCATTGGAAGCAGTACTTGAAAAGTCCAAATAAATAGCCTGAAAATGCCTCCCTTTTGCAATGCTGTGTTGTTTCTTGGCTTCTACTGTAGATAGCATGGTTACCTCAACGGAAGGTCTGGGTTCTGACAGCGTCTTCAGTTTGCATGAAGACAGCCACTATCGGATAAGCAAGAGCCTGCTCAAGCCAGCAGAAGGGAGCACAGTACCCCTGACGAGAGTGAAGTGTTTAGTCTCCATGACAACCCCACATGATATCAGGCTTCACGGATCATCAGTTACGCCAGCATTCATTGAGTTTGACACGTCTCTTGAAGGGTTTGGGTAAGGTCCTACAGTGCTCTCAAATAACATGGGGCACACTGCAATGTTTTCTTACTTTCTTCTTTCAAAGAAATCCTTGGAATTTTTAATGGACTGGTTGCAAACCAGAAACAAATGAATTCTTTAAAGAAAAGAAAGGAATACTTCAATCCACATAAATTTCCACTCTGTCATTCGTTAGTGCTTTGAAACCAAATGCTTGCTTGCCATGTGTGAAAGCAGAAGTAGGTACGTATCTAAACGTTGATAGTGCCCTCTCGGTTCTGGATTTCACGTGCCTTTTAAAATGAAGGAACACTAGCATGCCCTTGCAGAAACCTGCTAGTTGCTAGAATTTATGTGCAATGTTTGGTTGGCCCAAATGCTGTGAAGCCCACTTAAAATTGCCAGAGAACTTGGAAATGTGGAAGTGGGCAAATCAGAAATACAAGTAAAGCTGAGAAGGCAGCTATGTTGAGTCTAAATAACTGGGAAAAAAATGGTTATTAACTGGAGGTGTAGCCTGAATATAATGCTTAACTAATTTTTTTCTTTTAGCACCCAGTATCACCTTCACTTACTGTTTTTCTCTCTCTAATTAAAAATCTGCTGAGTGAGGCACTTTGAGAATCATGTAATATGATTTAACTTGATTGTTCAGAAGATGAAAACATGACACCATTATCAGCATATGTTTAAGGAAAATGTTTTGTCTTTTTGGTTAAAAAAATGGAATAGAAAAATTCAAAACACTCATTTTGTTCTGTGCTAAAGGGTAAATATCTCAAAAACTGCTGTAAAAATTCAGACCAATAGTATAAGGAACAGGTATTAACTTAACCGCCTGCAGACTGGTCCATAGATGAAGGCTCGCAAGTAGGCAGAAAGCCAGTATCTCGGAGAGGGAGGCATTGTGAGGTACGTGAAGTCAGACAATTGTGAATGGCACCTCAAATTGTAAGTAATTGTTCAGAATTTCCCAGAAGCTTGGTTAAAAACCTTGATTAGAAGCTTTATTAAGAAGTTTTTAGTGACATGAATGACCAAAAATGACAACTACTGTGAAGCCCAAAAGAAATAGGCTAGCAAAATGAATTGTCACTGTGGTTGCTCCAGGAGATTTGTAGGTGCCGGTAATGTGTCCAAAAGTAATCCATGTAATGCAGCTGTGACTTCTTGTAATTTCAGCAAGTCATGTAAGAAGGCTACTATAATCAATTAAAAAAAAAAAAAAATCTGAAGACTTTTTGGTCTGTTTTAAAGTGCCATGGTGTTTAATGAGTTCAACAGTTGGCACACCCTTGCTAGTTATCTGCTTAGAGAGAACATGCTTGTAACAGCATTGACCATGGGGGATCCACCCAGAGAAGAACACTTTCAAGAGAGAGTAAGAAGTATATAATGAGAACTGTAACCAAGAGTAAGGTAGTAGTGACCAGAACCATGGACTGCTGTTGCTTTCAAGATGGGTGGTCAAGTTAACTCTTTATAGCCTATGTGAGAACAAACCAACTCCTAGCTCTGTCAGGCAACTCAGCTACAGTATACTTAAACTAGCCAGCTCAAGTGTAAATGTCAACAAAATGATGATTCTTCAGCAAGTTGAAGAGACGTCATTTTGCCTCCAGGAGGACAGTCTGTACAGACTGGAAGCTGAACTCCTATGGGGATTCGCTCCACCTTGGGTAGGCTGGTCACTGAAACAGTCTGGACTCTTAAAATATTTTAGTACCTAAGGGAGGTACTCGTTATATCTGTTTCCATTGTGTTCACAGCATCTGTGGCCCCTGTAAGGACCAAACATAGCTAATTTGATGAAATACGATGTTACTGTGAGAGTGTACATACTTAAAATGAGAACACCATAGTATGCAATTACCAGATTCTTTGAATATTTAGCTAATCCAGTCTCTTTGAGAGTCCAAAACATCTCAAAGGCTGCAGCAAGTTACGGTTGCCAACAGGGGAGCATCTTGCGCTATGGAGCCACGTAGGCGTAAGTCTCTGCGCCTTTGCACCAAAGACATGTGCTTCCGAAGCTCTTTGCATTGGAGATAATTTAGCCTTACAAGGAGAAATCTTGAGAATTCATTTCTACTTTTCATGAATACATACAGTCAAGGAGAGTGATGGTGTGCTTATGGTATATTTTCCCAGGCTATATTATGTTTGTATTGAACTCCGGTTGTATTGACTTTCATGAACTCTATAGTGTGTTACTGGTCTTCTGTTTTAACAGCTGCCTGTTCTTGCCAAGTTTGGCTCCCCATAATGCACCTACAAATAATGCTGTTACAACAGGACTTATTGACGGTGCGGTTGTCAGTGGAATTGGAACTGGTAAGTACTCAAGTATGACTGTTAGCAGTGTTTTGTATCTGATATTGAGTTCTCCTCTTCTATTTCTTTATTAGCCATGAAGTCATAGTATGGTGTTGGACGTTGTACAGTCCTAATTGAGAATTTCTTGTGTCTTTTTGTGTGTGTTTCTGTTGATTTTTGTCCCCAAGGCAAGGAAAAGCAATACAAAATACAAATGTGTGATTGCTTTAAAATACAAGGCTTTCAGCAGAAAGTTGAATTGTAATCAAGAGAACCGTATGAATAATGAACCTGGATGCATTATGAACAAGTTGAGGTAGTAGTGTGAAGAGCATAGGAAACATGGAATGAATTATAATGCTATATTTGTGGCTTTGTTCTACTGATTTCTTGACTGAATTTATACAGGTGTAGTTACACACATCATTACAAAAATCCCATCTAAATTGTTTGCTATCCCTTATACTTATTCGCTGTAGGCTGTTCACTCTACAGGAACCTGGTGTGCTGTGGGGCTAATTGAACGTGATCACTTAGTTTAAAAAGGTGTTAAGTCTAAAAATGAAGTTGAAGGTTTGCTGCAGTTGGACAGAATTAGTGTTAGACAGTACTTGAAGTCTCTGAGCTCTTTGTTCTGTGGAAGCACCCCAGGAGATGAAATGTATGTAGTGGAGAGATCTTCAACAATGGCTTCTTCAGTGAGTCACACCTATGGAAGAAGTATCTCATCACGATATTAGCAGTTTCTGAGGGCCTGATTCATTTCCGTGTTTTTTGTCTAGGGAACTAAAACTGGGTTGTTCTGAACAAGCAGAGTTTCAGAGTTGATTTTTGGTTTTAGAATAGAAGGAAATAGTGTGCAATTCTTGCTTTACTTGAGTTTGAAAAAAAACCCTCTGAGCTAGCTTTATGTGGCTTTTCCTCCAAGCTTGAGTCAGAAATGAAAGAAGTAACACTGAAGTTTGTGAAGGAACAGTTTGAGAAAGCACAGCTGGTGTCATCTGAGCTGGTATGAAAAAAGGAACAGGAACAAGTAGGTATCCTAAGTACTAGCTACTGCAGCTATATAATGGGCTTTCATTTTTGTTTTTTAGGTGAAAGATTTTTCCCACCGCCATCTGGTTTAAGCTACTCAACTTGGTTTTGTATTGAACATTTTAGTATGCCTCCCAATAACCATCCTGTGAGACTTCTTACTGTAGTGCGGCGTGCAAACTCCTCGGAGCAGCATTATGTATGCCTTGCCATTGTCCTCTCAGCAAAAGACCGGTCACTGATTGTTTCAACTAAAGAAGAATTGCTTCAAAATTACGGTAAGAGTTGTGTCGTGTCATCGACTAATCATGACAACATTATGGGGATGTGACAGCCAGTTTATTTTGAACCTAGTATCTAGAAGAATTATGTGCGATTGAGCCTTAGTTGCTGCTTCACCAGCTCCTAATGGGTTTTGACAATGGAAAAATGCAAAATATAAATATTCATGTAGAAATTAAGGAGCTTTATAATTTCCAAAGAAGATTCGATATCTGCATACAAAGAAAATTTTTTGCCAAAACCCCAAATATTACAGATTTGAAGGAGGGATTACATCGATGGTTTTGGAAGGTTTTTGCCTTTTATTTATCTTGTATTGTTCATTTTGGACATCATCCCTTGAGGTGCAAATGTTAACTGTCTTTGCTTTGAAGAAGTTTGGAAATAATAAACTAACAGGTTGTGAAGGCTGTTTCAATCTGGATAGTCCCAACACTGGAGGGCTATTTCAAGGCAATCAGTCATTCACTTCATGTTTTAATGCTGTGATCAGTTTTCAGAAAGGGTTTGTAGCTTCATTCAATATCTGTGATCAAAGGTGGAATTACAGGAGGTGCAGTGAAGACCTAAGTGAAACTGGTGAGGCCAGTGAATTTGTTAGAGAGTGCTATCGGTGCGGCTGGGGGCTTCAGACTTAGCCATCTCCTGTCTCCTGCCTTGTCCTCCACCAGAACCTCCAAAAATGGTCGTTTTTGACAGGCTGTTTGTGCACTGTGGCTGTGGAGGAGCCGAGAGGACCAGGGTAGCCTTCTGCCGATGTTTCAGGCAGACCAACACGCTGGGTTATAAAAATCTGTTCCTCCTTCTGTTCTTTCCTTTTGAGTAGCAGGCACTAATAAAGAATTTATACAACTGTTATTATTTAAAAACAAAACAAAAACAAACAGCGAAGCAGACTGTTACAAGATATTCCTTATTTTCATAAGCAGACATTCTCATCATTAACTGCAGTAGTTTCTCTTAGTAGAAGTCAGGGTCAAAACCCAAAACTTGAGGGCTGAAGACCCGTAGTATAAGGGAGGAACTAAACCTCTTAAATTACAAAGATATTGAGAGTGTTTTCTTTCTCTGAAGACCCAATTCTTGTAAGACAGAATTAAATAAATTTATCTTCATATTAATTGCTTTAGCCTGCACTGGAGCTATAGATCATATGTTTTAAGTTTGTAAGTCCCTATTACCTAACTCTTTAAAGGAGATGGGATTTGAAGAGGCTTTGTCAGAGAAGACCTGAAGGCCTCTGACTATAAAGGCTGGTTTTTAATTGAACAGGATACTTTCCCTTACTGGCGTGCCACCGTGTCATGGCTAAGTTATAGTTGGTGGTGTACCATCAAGTGCTGAGCAGGTAAATACCTGAAGAATGGAGATGGCAGGCCCACCAGCTTGGGGACTGGAAGTGCTGACGGTCTATTGCAAGAATAAATGGAGTGGTTTAAGGATCCCTCTTGTGAGCGAGAATTGTGCTCAGAGGTGTTTGGCTGAGAAAAAGAACTTGAGATTATTTTTGTAACTGAAAGTCAGTGCCAAGTACTCTGCTTTTATAATTTTCCTTGTGCTATTTCTAAAGAAATGAGTGGTATTCTTGTGCAGGCGGCTGTTGAGGTAAGAGGATTAGTGGTTTCTTTTTCTTCAATATGAAAGAAGGAAGAGAGAGATCTGAAAAGCTCCTGAAGCGTTCCGTGGTAGAGAATTTTTGAGCTTTGTCTATTTTTTTTATCCCCCCTCACCCCGAGGGAAGGGGAGCAGACAGGCTTTCAAGTAGAGTGTGGGTCATTCTGCTTTGTGATGGAGAGACTAATGCGCCTGCAAACTGATCGTGCCCTCTGGTATGAAGTCAAAGGCTGCCTTTTAGAGAAATTAAAAAATCATGTGCTGAGAACTAAAGTGATTTCAGCATTCGGGAGAAGAGAATTCAGCACCCATTAGTGAAGGCAGAGCTGGGAGATACTTGAAGAGTATAGGTGGGTGAATTGGGGATGGGTGGTCAGCAGCTTGTGGTTTGCAGCCCCTGCAGAGGGCCTGGGGGGGTTCCTCTGGCTGGCAGGCGTCCGTCTCTGACTCCTCTCGCTGGTGGTACGAGGGCGGCCGATGGAGTGCAGCTCACCTCACCCCACAGCGGCTGGTACTCATGGCAGGTCGGCAGCCTTACAACTGCTGATGTGGTAAGGGAAGGCAAGGGCGACTCGCTGCGGTTACAGCACTGAAATGGAACGGACGAGATGTCACAAAGTCTTCATTTTGACTTGGGCAGAAACGTCTCAGCCCGGAGCTACCCCTTCAGTAGCGGCACTTCAGAAAATTAATTTTCCTTAAAACTGCAAAAAGGGAAAAAGAGGAGCCACCATGCTGAGGCTTGTTACAAGTACTCCCAGGCCATGCTTGATGCGTGTCTCGCTAGGCAGATGTTGTATTTGCAGCTTTTATTAAGGAAAAAAAGTCTCAGGCTTTCAACCTCATCTTTAACTTCACTTGTGCTTTATAATTTAGGATCATTCTGATGCAGACGCTTTGAAAGGCAGTCTTTTTACTTGTATCTTCTTGTGTGTGTGACCTAATTGTTTAAGCAAGCTAGTGGCAAGCTCATACTGAGTGTCTGTGGCCTGCTGCTGGGCGGGCAAGAGGGGGCTTCTGTGAGGAAGAGGCCGGGGCTGCCGTGTGCCAGACATGGCCGGTTCCAGCCAGCTCTGCAGTTGAGCCCAGCAGCCAGGCTGGTGGGAAAACACGTGTAAGAAAGGGTGAAACGCCGCATGGAGTGAGGAGTAAGGGGGGGGGGAAAAAATGTGAGAGAAGGGGCCCTGAGGGCAGAAGGAGAGGAGGGGCAGGGATCTGCGGCCTCTGGAGGGGACCACACCAGAGCAGGGAGTGGGGCCTGTGGAGAAGACCATGGTGGAGCAAAGCGTGAGGAGAAAATCTGGGGGTAGTAGGGGTATCTTTCTCTCCACAGTGTGAGAAAAGTGGAAAATAGCATTCGAGAG